TTTTGTTTGGAGCGGGAGGGGGGGGGGCAGCAGCAGCAGCAGCCGCCTTGCCATGTTGGCTTCGAGATGCAAATGTGCTGTGTCTCCCGGCGGGCAGACATCCTCCGGAAAGCGAAGCTCAAGCCCGGGTGCCTCAAACTCCTCAACCTGCCGGCCAATAACACAATGAACTGCAACCTGCAGCAGCCACCGCTTGCTTACATCACTGTCATCACTTATTCCTCATGCAGCCCCAGCTCCTGGGAATATTCATGAAGCGATCCCATTCTATTGGGTTGCCATAGGAGCGAATACTGCACCGAGGCTCTGCCTACCTGAGCCAGCACCCGGGCTTCTTAAAAGGGCAACGCCTGCCAGGGCGTGTGTGGCGGGGCGGCCTCCGCAGCGCTGCCGCCACCGCTGCTGCCACCGCTGCTGCCACCGCTGCCGGGCTGCCAGGACCGCGGCACCGGCGCTGCAGAGCTCTGCTGCCCAGAGAAAGTCCTCGCCGCTCGGCTCCGGTGCCAGGCTGCATGCCAGCCTCGCTTCCACGGCACGAAATCACCGTGAATTTATAAACAGCAGCATCTTCAACATTAAAAAAAAAATAAAAATAATTTAAAAAAAGAAGCAAGAAGATTCCTTTTTTCTCTTAGATGCTAAAGATCCTTTCTCCTGCTGGCGTGGGGGCTGCTTGGGTGCAGGTTTGCTTGTGAAGGCAATGGGGGTTTTGTGGGAGGGGGCAAATCCAAACCTAAAGGAAAGACAGCGCTTCACCTTGAAATTCCGGCTTGCATGCAAAGCAGGGGCTTGGGGAGTGCCTGCCTCCTCCAGCTGAAGTTTCCCTGCTGGGAAACACGTTGTGTATTGTACCTGTCTGCAACCACCGAAGGTTGGGAAGGTTTCTGTTGCCTTTGCTGCCTTGCTTCCCCGTTAGACAGGCAAAACGTTACTGTTTCTCCCCTGCGGGGCTAGATTTGTAGAAATCATTAAAAAGAAAAAAAAAAAAGCCAAGCTGCATCTCAAAGGTCTCCCCTGCCATATCGAGGGTGACTGGAGCGGGATGCCGAGGAAGGAGCTGGTG